TTTTTCTCTTTTATGTGCATGGAATGTTTATAAGAAACAAACTTCCCATGTGCATAAGGAATAAAACCTTCCTTCTGTTCCTTATACATTCTTCAAATTTCTATTTCTTTCTTGACTTATGTGTGATAAGCAAATCTGTGCAAATAAATACTATACCTGTAAGGAGAGTTTGCACAAGCAAAACAGATGCCAATTTCTTAAATCATATTCATCTGGACAACAGATGAATATTGAAGACATTTTATAACAGATTAGAATGATGCTTATAAATATTAACACCTCACTACCTGACACTAATATAGCCAAATAAATTCTCTAAATTCTAGCAACTAAAAATGACAATAAACATTTATAACCCTGCAGACCTTTGAGGATTTCAGCTCTAGATAAACTACCCTGACTCATCTGGATAGAGATTTTGGCAGAACTGGAAGTGTCTAATATGCAGACACTGATGAAAACCATTCTAAATCATGAGTTACTTATTCTTACATCATTGCCAAGCTGATTCATCTCTGTAGGACATATTCCTTTTGCCAGAGATAACATGTATCATCTGAGCTAGAAACACACAATCAAATCCCATTATGATAAACTGTCAGTGTTTATTCAAATTTTTTCCTCTTGTGTAATTTTGTCAGTTTAACACTACTTAACACATGTGGTCTTACAATTTTTCATTGTGAATCATCTGCCATTATTTGGCTGGATCTGGGTCACACTAAGGATGTGAATTTGAAATTTATAATTCTTGCCATATTATAGACTTATTTAATAACCAAGGAGATTTCTGCATTCAATATTTTATAAAACTTTTTTCTTTTAAATGAAGATATATGTGTTTGATTTGATATAGTTTTACATGACAAACTAAATCAAGAGGATTTTTTAATTTATTTTTTTATTTATTACAGTTTATTCACTGTATCCCAGTGAATATCACTGTGTACAGTATCCCAGCTGTAGCCTCCTCTCTTCCCTCCTGCTCTCCTTCCCTCTTCCCCTCCCAAACCCCTTCCCCAGTCCACTGATAGGAGAGGTCCTACTCCCCGTCCATCTGTCTCTGCCATTCAGGTTTTGTCAGGATTGTCTGCATTGTCTTCCTCTGTGGTCTGGTGTGGTTGTTCCCCCCACTCAGGGGGAGGTGATCAAAGAGCAGGCCAATCAATTCATGTTAGAGACAGTCCCTGCTCCCCTTACTAGGGAACCCACTTGGAGACTGAGCTGCCATGGACTACATCTGTGCAGGGGTTCTAGGTTATATCCATATATGGTCCTTGGTTGGCATATCAGTCTCAGAAAAGACCCTTGTGCCCAATTTTTTTTGGTTCTGTTGTTCTCCTTGTGGAGCTCCTGTCCCTTCCAGGTCTTACTATCTCCCCCTTTTTTTCATAAGATTCCCTGCACTCTGCCCAAAGTTTGTCTATGAGTCTCAGTATCTGCTTCAATACCCTGTAACCAGATTAAGTTAAGCATAAATAAGCATTTTATGTTATGGACAGCAGATTACTAGGGAGCTAATTGATATGTAGCATAAACTCTTAGTGTTTTATTTCTTGTTGGTATTTTGAAATATTTACTATTATTTTAGAAGTAGTCATCAATAAACAGAACTAAACATTGGTCTTGAATATAAATACATTCATCTGCTCTTGCTTATATTTCATTTTATAATCAGACTCTAAGGATTATCTGAGAAATCCAAAAGAGCAAGCATCCTAAATCCAGGCATTGTTAGCTTTATGAACTTATAAAACACACACTACATTGTGCAAAGTCTTTTTTGCAGATGGACCTTAGCTACAAAAATATTTAGTTTCCTTTCATGTTGTGACTAAGTAATGTGAGAACGATATGGGCTGAAAATGTACAGAAAGGTTGCACGCTGATTGTCAGAAAGAAAAACTTCCATCATATCAATGCATGTAACATTCCTCACAAATCCCAAACAAGTCAAGAGAGCTCTGTGCACCTGGTGTACTTGTTCTCTTCTACTGCAAATATTTTTTCTTTTGTTTTTATGGTTGTTGTTCCGTTTTGTTTTGAATTGAGTTTGGTGATACTTAGTCTCTGGAGAGTTGTGGAACTGTTTAACCATGTCTGGACTCACTTTTTTGTGGCACATTTTTAAAATTAATTAATTTATTTACTTTACATCTTGGTAGGAAGTTCCTTTCCCTCTTCTCCTTCCAGTCCCTACATCTTACCTCCTCTCATCTCCTTTCAGTCTTTCCCTCTCACCTCACCTCTTTCTCCTGTCAGAAACAGGGAGACTTCTTCCTATGGGTATCAGCCCACCTTGGCATATCAAGTAGGAGTGGGCACATATTCTATTGAGGCTAGACAAGGCTGTCCAGTTAGGGGATAGGGATCCAAAAGGCAACAGTCAGACACAGGCCCTGCTCCTGTTGTTAGAGGTCCAACATGAGGACCAAGCTTCACACTTGTTAAATATATGTGGGGAGCCTAAAACCATCCCAAGGATGCCCCCCTGGTTGGTGGTTCAGTCTCTGTGAGACCCTATGGGTTCTGATTAGTTGTTTTTGTAGATTTTCTTGTGGTGTTCTTGACCTCTCTGGCTCTTTCAATTCTTCCTCACCCTCTTCTGGATTTATCTTTTAAAGACACTTCTCTCTCATTGCATTGTTCTACCCTAACATTACGCAAATAACCTCCTGTACCAACACTGTCTGACATATTAATTTTTGTATTTTTAACTATATTTTTATTTATAATGTATGCTTAAAGTAGCTTTAAAAATACAAGGTAAGTTTGGGGAAATATTAAAGATTCTATTAATTTTATTTTGTATAAACTATTTCAAGAAATTTTGAATATTTTTAATTCATTGTACTTAGTAAAATTAGGTTTAAATATTGTTACTTGAACATTAATTCTAAAAAGCTTTAAATGCTGTAATTTTATGTTTCTTATTTATCATTAATTTTAAGAAGCTTTAAATATTTTAATGTTCTTTGTGATCATTGGTCATTAGGTGGAGTGCCACAAAGCCAAACTTTCAGTCCTTTTCCAAGCTCTCACTCCCTTTTTGTCTCATCTTAAGAACTTCTCTATCTCCCTTCAGTTCCAAACCAATTTCTTATTCTTGTTTATCTTCCTCTTGCAAAAGCAACAACAGAAACACTATTTTTAAAATGAAAAGTTAAAAAAATCCAAGCACTCAAGCATGTGACTAATCATGAGCAACACATCTTAATTTAAACTTTGACTCAACTCTCTGAGGAAGTTACTAATACTCATTCCTCCCCACTCTTTGAGGAACTGCCTTGGCTTCCACAATCACCCTACAGAGTCTTGCAGTCAATTTAAAGGGGAAGATTGTGCTCTGTTCTTAACAGACTAGATGCAGAAGGTAACTGCAACTCCCTTTTCTGTTGTTTCCCACAGTGATAACTAAATTGATCTAGCATATTCTCAAACTGCTTAGTCTCTCCACAGTGCCCTGCTTTCCACAAAAGCTACTGGTATATGTTTATTGACTAGGTCTCAATTCCCATAGGTCACAAAACACTGAGGGCAGAATGTAGCTCCACTAAACCTGCTTACAATTTAACTGTAATCCAGCTGAGATTTCTTAAGAAAATTGTGTTTTTTTACTTACATTCTAAAGCATGGCATAAGATAAAATAAAATGTGATGATGACAACAACAATAACAACAAAATCACAACTGTCTTGTATCTTATCCCAAGTGACATTTTAATTTGCTAGAGAAACTGATGAGAAGTTGCCAAAGAAAATGAGGGATGGGCAAGAAGCTAACTTAACCTCATTAAATCTTTGGCCCACAAGACGTTTACACAGGACCTAGTATCCTAGACATGCCATTTTCAACAGCAGCAGACAGACAGGCAGGCAGGCAGAACAGCTAATGCTAATGTGACTTTGTTTTGAGCATTATCTCTATTAAGAAATTACTGCTGTTCTTCCCCAGTAAAAAACTCTGAAAGAAGCCAGGCCCAATGGCACATACCTGTAATCCCAACACTTGGGGAGGCAGAGGCAGGCAGAGGCAGGCAGAGGCAGGCAGATATATCTCTGTGAGTTTGAGACCAGCCTGATCTACAAAGGATGTCCATGTCAGGCAAGGATACACAGAAAAACCGAGTCTCGAAAAAACAGACCCCCCCCCCGAAAAGCAAACAAACAAACTTTGGACGAACCCCATGAGCACTCTAAAATGTTCATACCAAGATTAATATAAAAGATACCTTCCTACTGATATTTCAAAGGGTACTTTCCCAAGTTCCTGTTTACTTGTCACTTTCTTTTGTGTGATACTCATCTACTCTTTTACATTAATAGATGGAGAAAACAAGCAAGGCAGCCTAGCCCTTCCATTTGCAATTCTAAATTTCCCTGAAGGCTTCTCACCACAAAGTCACCTGGGGAGTTTCTACAGATGCAGAAGCAAAGTGCTGAGGAGTTACTATGAAGTTGGGTAGCCCTCAGTGAATCCCACACAGGGTTTCTATGTAAATAACACAGCTTCCTCACCCTTCAGGAAGAGCCTTTCTGAGAAATGGTCTACCCAAAATTCTAGAGGACTTCAGGGGGAATGGTCAACTCGTGTCCATAGCAGTACTCTAACGTAGTCGGGCTGTTTGCTTTCCTGTCTCACCTCTTCACTCCCATGCTCGTGCTACTAGTTCTTCTAAATAAACTACTTGTATATACATCCCCTACTCAGGTCTGCTTTTGAGGAAACACCCTAATACATTCAGCCAAGATTGGTATCTGGCAAATACTACAGAGCTACTAAATCTAGAAACATTGCTGGAGCCAAAGTCTTTGTCTTTCCGACCTATGACCACTATTGACAGAACTGGTTCCAGGCCTTCTCAGAAAAGGGAATATATACTATAACTGAAACAAAATTGTTAAATGGCTCTTTGAGAAAACTAATTACTATCATTAATAGGAAACAAACAAACAAACAAACAAACAACAAAAACAAGGGAAATGAAAGGCAGTAATTACCTAGCATAACAAAAGGGAGTCCCAGGAAGGTGGAATTATATTTCCCACCAGTAAGATTGATGATTCCAGCTGCAGTGAGAGTGGCTAGGCTTATGGTCACCAACCCGAGTAGGCCTAGCCAGGGTTTGCTGCGGACACAGTCCTGCATAGAGCAGCAGAGGATGGCCATGGTGACTACCAGGATCAGGCTGGTGAGCAGGTAACGTTCTGCTACACGGCTGGTCTTCTGGAAATCTTCCCTCAGTGACGCGGATGTGTACGGGAATATTTGGACTTTGCTGTTGGATTTCTGGAATAGTCTGACAGTGTCGCAGAAGCTGGACTCCCACCTCTCAGCCACCATGTCGTTGAGACTGTTGATTGACTGTAGGTAATAGGTGAGCTGAACGGCCTCCGCAGATCTCACCCGGTCCTTGCTGTGTACAGTGACGCCTCCCAGTTGGTGGCCATTATAGACGGCCCTTCCATCCTTCAAGTGAGTTATCGGATACGTGATAGCGAAATTGGTCCGATTGGTGGCCCGAGCGTTCTTTAGCTCTTCTAGGACGTGGACTATGTCATCCACAATGCAAGTCTTATCATTATTCAGGACACATATGTGGGCAAATGTATAATTAAAGCCAGGCCTTGGAACCTGGATCTTGGTTACAGCAGTATGCAACTATGGGAAGAAAAACAAGAGTTAGATTTTTTTTAATGGACAACTAGACATTAATAAGTAAAATTAGCTCTTTTTATTCTTATTCCAATTTATTCATTTTATATCTCTACTGTAGTCCCTTCCCTCATCTCCTCCCAGTCCCACCCTCCCTCACTCTTTCCCCCATCTCTTTCCTCTACTCCACTGAAAGGGGGGCTCCCCTCCTCTGCCATCTGCCTATAGCTTAACAAGTTTCATCAGGACTGCCTGGATCCTCTTCCTCTATGGCCTGGCAAGGTTGCATCACCAGAGGCAAGTGATCAAAGAGCAGGCAACTGAGTTCATATCAGAGGCAGCCCCTGCTCCTCTTACTGGGGAACAGGTATGGAGATTAAGCTGCCTCTCAGCTACATCTGAGCAGGGGTTCTAGGTTCTCTGATGCATGGTCCTTGATTGGTGCATCAGTCTCTGCAGGACATCCTGGGCTCAGTTTTTTGTTGTTGTTTTTGTTTTTGTTTTGGCTTTGGCTTTGTTGGGCTTCTTGTGCAGCTCTTGTCATTTACATAATGGAATACTACTCAGCTACTTAAAACAAGGAAATCATGAAATTTGCAGGCAAATGTAAAAAAGATCATCTTGAGTGAGGTAACCCAGAACCAAAAGACAACCATGGTATATACTCACTTATAAGCAGATAATAGCTGTATAATATAGGATAACCATTGTAAAATTTACAGACCTAAAGAAGCTAAACAACAAGGAGGACTATAGTGAGGATGCTTAACCTCATTCAGTATGGCAAATAGGATAAACACTAGAAGCAGTGGTAGAAAGGGAACAGAACTGGAGCCTATCATAGATGGACTCTGAAAGGCTCCACCCAAGAGGGGAATTTAAGCAAATGCTGAGACTCACAGTCAAACTTTGGCTAGAGCACAAAGAGTCTCATGGAAGAAGGGGGAAATCGAAGGACCGATAGGTAATATATGCTCTTGAGATTTAACTATTTCTTCTTTTTAGGAAAGGGAAAGTCATTCATTCCATCTATAAGACAGAAAGTTTAAATGAAATAAAATGTTTTGCCCATAGACCTCAAATACGTAGTAGGGATGCAAAGACATACATTGGGTCAACAGTTTTCACAGTATGTGGTGCCCAGTCTAGCAGCATAAATCCACCAGCTTGTCAGAAATACAAATTCTTAGGTCCTAGTCTGGACTTGAATAATCAGATTCTTTGGAGTATAACCTATTTAGAACTGCTGGAAGATTCTCATGTTGCTAACACTTGAGAAGTGTAGCATTAAAGTACCAATATTACTCTATTTATGATCAAAATGGTCTATAATATTAGCAAGTCTTATATAGGTTTCTTGTTTATAATTTTTCTTGGAAGTGTGATGTAAATGAAGTCAATGAAGGTACAGTCTTGTATAAAAAGGTCTTTTGAAGTTAGTCCCTTACTGCCAATTTGCAGCACCGCTTAATAATCTTATCCAACTACTCTCTATTATAAAAGCCAAGAAGTTTACCTTGATAACTATGCTGAGTAGTTTTATGTCAATTTGACACAAATGAGGATTATCAGAAAGGAGGAGACCTCAACTGAAAGAATGATATCAGGGTGTAGGCAAGCCTGCAGGGAACTTTCTTAATTAATGATAGATGTAGGAGGGCTCAGCCCATTGTGGGTGGTGCCATCCCTGGGCTGGTGGTTCTGGGTTCTATAAGAAAGCAGGCTGAACAAGCCATGTGGAGCAAGGCAGTAAGCAGCACTTCTCTATGGCCTCTGCACCAGCTCCTGTCTCAAGATTTCAGCCTTACCTGAGTTATTGTCCTGACTTCCTTCCATGACCAAAAGTAATGTCAAAGTACTAAATAAACACTTTTCCCAAGTTGCTTTAGTTATGGCATTTCACCATAGCAATAGTAAGTCCTAACTAAGACAATAGCCGTTTGTCTTCTGTTCTTTGTCTGCATAGGTGGGAAAGGCAATAAATAGTAAGAGTCTAGCTCATAAAATATTAAATTGTACAAAAGTAGAACAACAGGACTTCTATATACTTCAAGGACAGGAGTGTGCTGTGATAGAGTACTTGCCTACTATGTGCAAGACCCTGGTTTCTAACACCAGTGCTACAAGAATTATTCTACACACATTGACTAGTGTCAGATTGTAGTCGTGTCAAGATGCTTTACACTTACCATCAAAGTGCACATGAGAAGATAACACCTACTACATTTCAAGCACAGGTCTAACCATTAGCACAGATTAGCTGATTTAGAACTTATAACAGATCCTAAAGTAGGTATGAACACTAGCCTTGTCTTTCAGGTGAGGTAACTAAGGTAGAGAAAATAAATCATTTGTCCAAGATCACATGAATTATAAAAGGCAGAATGGGGTTATACCTAGCAAACTGAACAGGGCCTGTGTTCTTAGGTTCTTATCATGTATATCTCTAGGTGCCAGAACTCCAACAAGGGTTCCTGCCAGCAGCTGATTTCTGAATTTGTGCTTTTATGACCCTGCTAAAATTCATGTGTGTTTATAGAATCTAATATCTTAAGTGAGAAAATAAATAGTATGTTTATAAAGGGATTAAGGAATTTAAATGAATCACTACCATGTGCCTGCATATTGCACTTTACCTCTCCTTAGTAATTCAGTTTATAACGAAAATACCAAGGCTCATAGAAGCTTTGCAGATAGGGTTAATTGACATCTTAAAATGGCATAATTTCAACTCCAGATACATTGAGCCCTAATTTAATTGTTTCAACTCCATAACCAGTTATTGTCATGGAGGCTTTGTCTTATCTGTGTAAACGTGGCCACTCTGCAAAATTAGGTCAGTGCAAGACATGTGTTGGTATGTTAATTAAACAAGTGTATCCATGCCTGTGACTAGCAAAGGGTGGACTTTTCCATGAGTGTTTGCATGACCCTGTTATATCTTCTCTCAATCTGTTCTAAATGGGTTATTGGTTAAGATGTTTTGCTGTGTGTGTGTGTGTGTGTGTCTGAGTGAGTGGGATAGTATGCTTATCTGAAAATGTCTGAGAAGCACCAGCTGTTAAATTACTTTACTTAGCCAAGAGATGGAGTTATTCATCCTAACTCCCAGTGTCCCCTTCCCTTGTATCTCTTCATTAACACCAACCCTTAGGTTCAGAAAATATGTTGCTGTATTATATCTGGTTAAAATAGTTTAATTTATTTCGCATATAGTCTTCCATATATTCCTAGTAGGCTATTTTTTTTTATAGCTTGAATGATGTGCTAAATTTTTGTATCAGTGCTTTGAAATTAATGGCTAGAAAAATATCTTTAAGTGGTTTTAAGCTCTGAAAGTATCTTTCTGTTCACTCTTGTCTAAGCACAGGCCAGCAAGTCTTGATTAGGATCATTTCTAATCATCAAAAGCTTCTAAATTTAAGAGGTTATTTTGGAAGAAGAAAAATATAAATAAAGAATATAAGGATGAGAGAATTTTGATAAGAGTTAGAGAATTTAGTTGAAAGAGTCAGAATAGCCTAGAGAAGGACCGATATTGAAAGTATGTATATATGTAATAATTAGTGCATTGCTTGTTCCCATAAACAGTGAAATAAAATTCCCTTAGATTAGTAAATATGTCAAGATTAAAAGATTGCCAGAAAAGATGGTGTTAAGCCACAGGGCTGAACCCAGTTAGAGCAGGGGTTATTTTTCCGTCCATTCTCTATAATGACCATGCACTGTGGGCTGGGGAGGTATAAACTATTTAGAGATCTGCCAACTTTGCAGCTCTACTGCTAAGACCTCTGGAATCACACAGGGAAGGAATGAGACACCATATTAACCCCTGTACTATCAGACAGTTGCTGAGAGACTTAGAAAATGGGAAAGACCTTACTGAAGTTTGAGATGAAAGATTTCTTCACTCAACAGTAGAGATGCTTGAATTTCTGATGGACTGGTGGGTAGCACATGTATCATTCTTGTTTCTGAGTGGTAGAGTGACACAGAGTGAATGGCAGAGCAGCTGGGTGGTGCCTGAGGACACCCACCTGACAGGGAAAGTCTGTGGGATTGTGTTGTGGAATAAGAGGTGAGAAGATAGAATGGAAACTGAAAGTTGAGATTTTTTGTGACTTTTGAAACAACTCAGCTCTTATCAATGTTTCTATTGAGTACATGTCAAGTGTAAACACATTTCACTCTTGGACGTTTACATAGTCGTGGTCAGACACCTTGCACATAATACTTAGACATCTTGTAGACTTATAATACTTATATACTACATATATATGTATATGCATATATACAAATATATACATATGTATATAGTATATAAGTATTATAAGTATATATACTACATAAATAGTACATAAGTATACATGTATATACATATATACATACTTATATTTATATTCTACATATATAGTTGATTTTAGAATAACCTGATTTACTTTCCTGAAATAGCCCCATGAGAGAAGGAGAACCCTTACATTCTAACTTGTGGCACAACATATATTTGTAGGATTTTGTGAAAAAGAAAAAGAAATGCCAAAGAAAAAGCCAAAGAGATGGAAGTTATACCTCAGCCCTTCTACAATATATACAATAGCAACCAAAATGAACGTGGTAATAAATTAGTTAAGATGATTTCAGAAAAGAAAGGGTAGAGAAAACAATTAGTAGCCCTGACCTTTAATGTACTCTGAATCTGTCATATGGTCAATGGAAAATCTGTGTTTGTACAATTATGTATACATGAAGCCAGCACATACTCAATAAGTACTCATCTATTGTGTTGTTTGTAATAATGATAATTTTTCTGAATTTAGTGTGCATGTTTTCATGCATGCAAAATCACAAGGAATATAATATTCAAAACAATGAGAAGATTCAAACAAACAACACCAAGTTCTTTGTACTAAAAAAGCCCAAACCTATATTAATCTTGACCATGGTATCTTGATTATTATAAATTTGCTTCCTTTAATTTTTAATTTTAATTTTAATTTTTCTTTTTAGTTACAATTTGTTAACTCTGTGTCCCAGCTGTATCCTGCTCCCTCATTCCCTCCCCCTCCCCAACTCCCTCCCTGGTCTCCTCCCTGCCCCTTTCCAAGTCCACTGATAGGGGAGGACCTCCTCCCCTTTCATTTGACCTTGTTTTATCAGGTATCTTCAAGGCTGGCTGCAAAGCTCTCCTCTGTGGCCTAACAGGACTGCTCCTCCCCTTGGGGGGGGAGTCAAAGAGCCTGCCTTTGAGATCCTGTTAGAAATAGTCCTTGTTCCCCTTACTGTGGAAAACTACTTGGTTACTGAGCTACCACGGGCCACATCCGAGCAGAAGTTCTATGTTATATCCATAGATGGTCCTTGGTTGAGTGTCAGTCTCAGAAAAGACCCTGTGCCCGGATATATTTGGTCCTTGTAGAACTCCTATCCTTTCCATATCATAAAAAAAAGAAGCATAGAAAAAAAAGAATATAATGTAAATATTAGATATACAGGATATCTGATATGCATCCTCTATGAAAGGGTCACTACACTCCCCAAATGCTCATGACCTGTAGGTTGAGAACCGCTCTCCTAGATGGTTCCAGATCTTACTAAGCTGACAATAGTGGCCATCACAGTCTAGAAGTCACTTTGTTTGCTTAACCGAGAACATTTCCATCAACTTTCAAGCTTGTTTTATGTGCCATATAATGCTCAAGCACCTGTTTTCAAGTTGGAAATAACCAACTTAAGGATTGAGGTTAAGAGCACGGTCTGTGTTATCAAAAACCTTGTGTGTTTCAAGTTTACTCGCTTCTTTGTCATCATGGACAAGTGGCTAAATAGCTAAGCCTCCATTTCCTTCTATGCAGAGTGGATGGAATTATTTTAAGGTACTTTGTCACATGGGTTTTTCAGATGACTAAATGAATCATATAAATAAGATACTTAGTATGATGTCAGGTGTGTGACAAGTATAAATACCAGCAGGGACATTCCTGAGTTTCCTTCTGTTTCAGGAGGGTGAAAGCCATTGGTATAAGAGAGCTAAGTCGCTGGGCCAATTTATAAAAGTAGAAAGAATACTAGTGAATATATAATATCCTTCACTGAGAGGCATTGAGGCATTTTACACAACGAGTAGATTTTAACAAGCGTTTGATAAGCTTTCAAGCTATTTTTGAGTAAAATAGTCAGATCATGTTAGGTTGAACCAACTCTCTCTGTATGTGTACATCTGAACCCACATTTGTGTATGGATTCTGTTCTACTCATGGTATTTTTCTCTTACAGCTCATTTTGACTGAAGACTCTGAACAGGTGTGTTGCATGCCTGTTTCTCACACAGGAGTGGAATAGTGTCATATTATTAAATGTTATAGTTCCTGGGGTTCTTGTAATGTCAACAACAGGGAGTATCTTCTCATTGTCATCACAACGAACAGTGTTGACTTCCAAAGGAAACTTGTGGGAATTAATGAGCAAAAACTAAAAATATATGAATAGTTATATCAAAAAAATAAATAAATTTGCTTCCAAAAACATCAGAAATGAATGTTAAATTGAAGTTCATTCCAAGACTTTGAACATATCATTTAATTTTTTCAGCTTCTTTGTTCTTTTCACTCTTCATGTTAAGAATGATATAGTACTAGCGACTAGTGTGCTAAACATTTTCAACGTATTTAAAAACGTATTCATGATAAAGACTATGAGAATGCTTAAGTTATTATCCTCATTTTACAGTTGAAGCAACTGAGGCTTAATAAGCTTCAACGAATCACCTAAGATGACTTTCAAAGTGAAGAGCAGATGCAAGACTCTAAATCAGGCCTAACATCATAGCAGAGCACAGTTTAAGACCAACACAAATTAGGAATCCTGGACATTAGAGGGCAGTTACTCCAGTGCTTTACATCCAAAACTTCATATCTCATAGTTTCAGGAAAAAAAAAAAAAGGATGTTGGGCTAGCTGATTCTTTTATTCTTATTCTTATCATTACTAAAGGTAGATTTGTCTCTCATACAATACATCCTGACCAGAGTTTCCCTCCCTCCATTCCTCCCAGTCCTCTCACTGACCCTCTCCTCAGATACATCCCACTCCCATTTCCTCTTCAGAAAAGAGCAGGTCTCCAAGACACAGCAGCCAAACAGGACAAAATAAGAAACAATAAGACAAGACAAAAGCCCTCCTCTGGAGTTTGGACAAGGCAATCCAAC